CAATTTTAATATTTTTAGTTGTAATGAAGATCAATTTCTGTTAGATTTATAATTCTGCAGTTTTAATCACTGTATATTACTGATGATTGATGGAATTTTGGTGTTTTGTGCAGAGAATGTCACACACATAACACTCACACACATTGGCTGATGACACCTGCACAAGCTGCCATGAAAGGGGGGTTATTCTTTACCTCTTGATTCATGTGTTGGCTACACAATACACTGAAATTTTACTGATAGTAGAATACATATTAAACTGTCTTCTGTGAAACAATTACTTTTCAATTGATAATTCTGTGAATTCTGCTTGATTTTGTTCTTTTTAAGTTGTTTTTCCCATTCTTAACATGAGATCACACTTGTATTTTAAAAAATGAGGCAGTCTTGCCACTAGGTACATATAATTCTGAAAAGTGAATTGTGAGTTCATTGATTAGCATGTCACTTACAAATCCCTATCATCTTACATTAGAGGAATTACCCTTGAAATCTAAATTCCCTGTAGAGACGATATTCTGTTCTTAAAAATTACTCATTACTTACTGCAATCCTAGTGCACTTGCTAGTGTTAGATTGTAAACAACAGTACCCTCCCCACATCAAGTAACGTCAGCAAGATACGGAAGGACATCACCCTATCCAAGCAGAGACTTGAAGACTAGTATTTCCCTAGCAGGAACATTTTGGCGCCTACGGTGGGGCACGAATTGCCTTGCTTTTTTAATCATCATGGTATTAACAAGAAGCCAACAAGAGGGGCAGAATTATCAAGGAAGAACTTCTCATCAACAGAAAGGTGTGACACCCAATCAACCGATCCCTGAAGCTGCAGCCGGAAGGGGGGTGATAAAAGCCTCTTTTCTGTAGCAAGACAGCTCCAGGCCGAGATGAAGGAAGTGCAACAGGCCAGAGAGAAAGATGCTCTTGAGATGTCGGCCTTAAGAAGAGAGAACGCTAACTTGAGGGAGGAAATCAAAACCCATATACCCTCTTAGACTACCCCTTCTGCTCAAGAGCAAGGAGAGTCTTTGACATTGCAAGAAAAACCAAAGGGGACTCTACAAGTTAGAACCCTACTGAACGGGATGACGGCCCGAGTTGAAGCCTTTTTACTCAGCTTATCCTGGAGGCCAAGTTACCTGATAATTGGAGAGGTTTAACGTTAAAAAAGTATGATGGGACATCTGACCCAGGAGAACACTTGGATATTTTCATGACCCAAGTCGCCCTATATACAGAAAATGACGCCTTATGGTGTAGGATTTTTCCGACCTCGCTTCGAGGACCAGCTCTCAGTTGGTTCACCCGACCCCTCCCTTCATCTATCGACTCTTTCGCAGCTCTTACAAGACGATTCAACCTACAGTTTGCCACAAGTCGACCTCACCCCTTGACATCCCTAACACTTGTCAACATTCGTCAGGAAAAAGGAGAATCACTCCGAGCGTTCATGGAACAATTCGGCAAAGTGACCCTTTCAATTCATAATCTGGAACCAGCTGTGGCCATGCACCACCTTACAACGGCCCTTAAGCCAAGTCCTTTCGTTAACAGTATCTGCAAAAAACCACCAGCTGACTTGGTTGAATTGAGGAGTCGGGCTGCAAAGTATATGCAGATGGAAGAATTAGCCGAGTACCAAAATCAAGTTTGGATGGACCAAGGGTCCAATTCAAAAAATATAAATAAGAGAGAAACTTTCAAATCTCGACAAGAAAACAAAGAAAGAAGGAATGAGCTTGAGAGGCCGCCCAGGGGGCCTAAATATCCCTCCTATACTACACTCAACACTAACTGGTCTAGGGTACTTGATTAGGCCTTAGCAATAGAAATCTTGACTATGCCCAGGCGCGCCAACACCCCCCTTAGACAGATAAGAGCAAATCTTGCCGGTATCATCGCAATAGGAGCCATATGACAGAGGAGTGCACAGTTTTAAAAGATAAAATTGAAGATTTGATCTAGGACGGCACCTTAGAGGATTTGTGCAAACAAACCCCACCGGTCATTCTGAAAGGGAGAGAGACTGCTACCCCGAGTCATCAAGAAGATACCATAATAAGCAGTCCGAAAGACAACGAAGTCGGTCAAAAGAACCTCCTACTACATGATACGATGAACGTGAGAAATATTCTAAGAGGGTTATTAATACCATTGCTAGTGAATTCGCATGTGGAGGACCCATCCATTGGCTAGAAAACTAATATATATAAAGAAAACTAAATCACTAAAAAATAAGAAAGAAACATGTGTAAAACGGACAAGAGGAGCAGTTATGAAATCATTTGTAGACATAAGTCGTACAATTAGATGTGATGTTTACATTTTATAAAATAAAATAAGACATCTCACCAATTGAAACATCCAATGTGGCAGTACTCGCACCGCCTCCTATCGGTGTCGAGGATTGTATTCCCTGATCGTTTAATAATAACAAGTTCCTAATATATGTATATATTATATTATTTTTATTTTAAAATTATATAATTTCTATAATAAATAAATAAATTGTAAATTATTTTATTTTAAGTTTTTATTTAAAGTATTTTTAAATATTTATTTGACATTTTTATACTAATATATTTTTTAAAAAAATTTATATTTTTAAATATTTTAAGAAGTTCAACAAATATAAATATCTGTTTTATAGAAGCGTAAGTATTTTTTATTATTATAAAAAATGTTAAAACTTTTTTAATATTTAATAATAAAAATAAAAACATTTTACTTTTATTAAAAAATACAAAATATAAACTATTTATAATTTTAATAAATTAAAAAAATATTTAAATAACAATTTAATTATAAGTAAAAATAAAGTTTAATAAAAAATTATATTATAATATATTTATTTGTTTTAGAAGACATGACTATATAATTCTAAAATAGAAAGAAGGGTAATATAATAAATACAATTTTTTAAGAGAAAGAAATGTAATTTACTCTAATAATAGTTTTACTTTAATAAAATGATAACATATTATATTTAAAAATGTTATTAAAAATTAGTTTCTATTTTAAATTATTTATTTATTTATTTGAAGTTAAAAATAAATTTAATTTTAATAAAAATATTTAAATTATTAAATATAATTAATATTTATTTATAAATTAATTTAAATTATAAATTTTCTTTAAAATGTATGAGAATTAATTTTTTTAACTTTTAAATAAATAAGCCCTAAATAAAAGAAAAACATTGCAGAAATAAAAACAGTAACATGAAGCCAATATATTATACTGTTTAAAACTGAAAATATTAATACTACTCCTTCATTTAAAAATAATATTTTTAATTTAAGAGAAATTATGTCATTATTATTTGAATGATTGAATGAATTTGAAAACAAAATCTTATCATATATTTATAAATTATTTTATATAAGTCTTACCTTTTTATTATTTTTAGAGATATATTCTTAAAAATAAGCTAGTTTTTTTTTTCCAAAACAGTCAATAACTAAATATAGACGTAAGATGTATTAAACATATTGGTAATTTAAGAATTTTATTAAAAATTTTATTTAAATTTCTTGATAATATAAATATATTTTAAACTATCATTTAATAATAAATTATTATTTTAATAAAAAATATTAATATGTAATAATTAATATAATAATTTAATTGTCAATGTAATTTAATTGCTTAACTTATAAAATTGGAATTTTTTTATATGTGGGTTTTTTTAAAAAATTAAAAAAATATGAAATTTTTTGTGAAATTATAGAAATATAATTTTTAAAAAAATTTATCATTGTCGACTTTTGGTCAAAAACTGTTATTTATCATTTTTAATGTACTTTTTAAATATTTAATTTTTTTTAAAAGTTGCTACTGACAATTTTTAATATTTTAATATTTTTAAAAATATCATTGTTGACTTGAAATTTTATATTTTTTATCTTTTTATCTTTAAATTTTTATACTGCACCAAAAATGTCAATTGAATTTCATATTTTCATAAGTTTATAAAAATCTTATATTTTTTAAATTTAAAAAAAATCATATAAAAAAAAGCTTAAAGTTATTACATAAAAGTTAAACTTTTTTGTTAGGGTATTTGAATTAGTAAAAAATATTTTTTTGTGAAAAAATTACATTAAATTTATAATTAAAACTATGATAAAAAAAGTATTGAATTTTTTAAAAACAATATCATTTTTAATTTTTAAAGGATAATTAAAGACGGTTAGTTAGTATTATTTTCTTCAGATAATACATTTAAAATTCTCGTATAATTTGAGCGTGGCCGACAACGCGACAGCATATTTCATGAGGTATACCACCCTCACCCTCACCTCCTCTGTCCACGTGGTTTCATTCCCGCGCAGTCTTCTCTCGTCAACATAACAAGGAAAAAAATAAAAAATAAAAATAAAATTGGTTCTTTATTTTATTTTCATTCACCTATTTTCTCTGCATTTATTTCAACTTCGACTAAACACCATAACAAGAGAACGATGTTTTTGCAGCTACAAGGATAGGTTTTTTTATAAACCTTTTACAACACGTTTAGATTTAATGTAAAATGTATGAGAATAAAAAATTGTAAAACATTTTCAATTATATAAAATTTAATTAAATTTGATCTACAATTGATTTTCATTAAAATTTATTAATTTATTACTACAGAAGTTAAACATATATGTTATACAATATGCACCATATAGGTTGACATGGACCATTTAAGTTAAAAAATAATTAAATTTAAAATAAATAACATGTCTAACAAAAAAGTTTTAAAGCAGAAAATTATATTCAAATAAATTAATTAATCATATAATTAAAAATTTGTAAATAAAATATTAAAAAATATTTTCATTCAAAAATTATTTACTTATATTAATTATAAAAAAAGTAATCTGATTTTATCTGTTTTATTTTAAACATAAGTCTTGCTAATTAATGCTCTAAAAACATTGATTAAATAATTAAAACAAATTTTTATAAACAAATTTTGTTATATATATATATATATAGCAGGGATCGTTTGGTATTTTCCAGCTGAGGTGGTGCCCCATCTTTTCGGGAAGGTCGTTTCAGTCAATTGGCTTGAAAAATGGATACGGGAGGAGCAGTGAAGACGGATATTATAATTGTCAGTAAGAACACTCTTTCTATCTCTTCTACTTCCACAAACCTTGTTAACTCACTGACACACCTTTCCAACGAAAACAACAACACAAGAAGATAAAAGAGCCAGAAATGCAGGAAATACACTCCCTCGGCGGCGGAAGGTTTTTCGGCGGCGGCGGAGACCGGAGATTGAGGCCCAACCACCACAACCACCAGCAACCCCTGAAGTGCCCTCGCTGTGACTCACTCAACACCAAGTTCTGTTACTACAACAACTACAACCTCTCTCAGCCGCGCCATTTCTGCAAGAACTGTCGCCGCTACTGGACCAAAGGCGGCGTCCTCCGTAACGTCCCCGTCGGCGGCGGTTGCCGGAAATCAAAGCGCTCCAACAAGCCGAAAGCCACCACCAACAACAACAACACTTCCTCTTCCTATGAAACCGCCCCCACGCCGCAACCGCCGCCCCTGTCACAGCCGTCGGAGCGGGAACGTAACTCTAATTCTCACTCCAGCAGCGAAAGCTCCACCCTAACCGCGGCGGAGGCGGTGTCGGCGCCGACATCAAACGCTGCGTCGAACAACAATTTGTTACGCGACAACATTCGCGAGTCGAAGCTGTTCGCCAACCCCTCTTCGGAACTTGAACAAGAAGGTGGTGGTGGTGATCACTCTGGCATTTTCTCTGAGATAGGGAGCTTGACGAGCCTTGTCACTTCTAATAACGAGGCGCTGGCTTTTGGCTTTGGGAATAACAATAACATCCTCGATGCGACGTCGTTTCGGTTCGGTCCTACTCATCCGCACGGGAATGATCAGGTACAAGTGGCACCAGGTAGTGGCCACGGGCAGTGTCAGTGGCAACAGCAGAATCACGAGGAGTTCGCTGCGGCGTCGTTTCTTGATCACGCGCTTTCGCTTGAGCTCTCTACGCTGCAGAATAAAACTGGGCATGGAGCGTTTGGATCGTTGGATTGGCATGCCGGTTCAGATCAAGGTTTGTTTGATCTTCATCACACCGTAGATCAACCTTACTGGACCCACACTCATTGGTCTGATCAAGACAATCCCACTCTCTTTCATCTTCCCTGAAGAAATTTCTCTTTTTTTTTCTAATATGTTTTTTATAACCTAAGGTAAGAGCAAAGAATATTTGGAATCTAAACCCAAGTAAAAATTTGGCTACAAAACCTGGACGGAACTCTTATTTTCGAGATGTAATTTTTTTTTCTTTTTTCTTTTTTCTTTTGGGGAGGTGATTGGGCTTGGTCTTAAAGCAGTGATGTGCATGTACAACTAACATCATGATCCATGTTAGTTTTCCTGTTTTTTTTATCCATGTTTTAATGTATGTATGTATTTGGATTTTGATTTATTAGGGGGAAAAATAGGGGAAACATAGCAGCGGTGTTTTAATATAATATCGAGGACTGGGGATTGATGACATTGTTTGTTTGTTTGGTTGGCTCTGGGGATTGTAATCTTATTTTGGTGTGTTCAAGATAATATTTAACCCGCACTATTAATGGCTATGAATTTGAAAATGACGCATAACACTTTGTTTATAACATGCCACGTAACGCAGCACGTTGATAATGACGATAATCATGGCCTGATTTTAGCTTATGGTGGTGTTTGTTACGGTAAATAATAAAATATAAGAGGACTTAGAGGAGGGATATTTTGTATTTATAATTATATAATTTTATACAACGATGATTTAGGAGTTTGAGTGAGCTTGGACGAGGAAAGGAACAGTGTGGGGGCTGCACAGTACTGAGCAGTCACATCTGCGATCATGACTCCACGTGGCGGTAGTGATGAGGGGTCTAAATGCGAAGTGGGACACGTAGGCTTAGTGACATGACATGAATGTGATGTGAAGGGTTGGGCTTGGGCATGGCTGTGGTGGATTCTGGGGCATGAGATGACGCCTAAATCGCTTAGATCCAAAGCAGAAGAGAAGGCAGGGGAAGCTGAATAGTCAAGATGGAGTGGTGGACAAGAAGACAGAGCAGATGGATACTGGACATAAGGGTGATGATGGTGAAGCCTATTACGGTGAGGGTGGTTGTCACTTGTTATTGATCATTGATGATGCAGGTGGGTGGGCCATGGCCATGGATGCCTTTGGTGCGAGTGCCTCCTTCCATGATGTCCCTAGCTCACTTCGAAGCGGGGGGTAAGCAATCGTTACCTAAAAGATCCTTTCAAACTAAGTATTTTAAATCTTGCTATTCCGGGTTTTTCATAATCAAATTTCAGTAGTATTGGCTAATTGATTTCAGTTTATTTCAAAAGTTTAAAAATTTAATTTTAATAAAATTGATTTAAAATTGCTATAATTGAAATATATCTTCACATTAATTTTGATTATAAGTTTCTATTAATTAAAGGATAATTTTTAAATTGAAAAGTAGTGTAGCAACATTCTACTTACTTACCTAGCAGCGTATGACTAGGTTATGTTCTTGGAGGATTGCTCATGCAAAAACTTCTTGTCAGTAATAACTACAGTAGTTAATTGTTGCCATTTGAGCTTCAGTTGCTGTGATAAAGGATGAAGGAACTTACCACTGCTGGTTCTAGATTCAATCCGTGTCTTACAATAACAACTAGGTGCCGGGTGATGTTTTCGCTGTTCCATGGTAAGTTTTGGGCATGCAAAATTATTTGATAAAATTAAAAGTTGAGTAGATAATTGGTTAAATTAAAAATATTTGATAATATTAACGATTAGTAGTTATATAGGCTTATTTATTTAAAAAATTCTTATCATATTACTTTTAGAATAAGTTTTATAGAATTAGTGAAAGCTAAAAGTTGAAGTTAGTCAGTTGTATTAAAATATAATAAAATTTATTGTTGAACTAGTCAATTAGTATAAAATACATAGAATTACATGTAATTAATTGGTCATAACTTGAAATCTTGTGTGTAAGAATGTGTGATCGCGTTGATATATTTATAATTAATTTTTAATTTCATTGTTATCTTATTATTTAATTTAATTTAATTTAATACATACTTATCTTTTTAAAAATATGAAAAAGCTTTTAATAAAAATTTTGAATAATAATGATATCTTTATTTAATAATAGGATATTAGGTGTTTGAAAAGATAAAATATATTGCTAACAAATTTTGTTAAATCTTTTGTTAAAGAGCTTTCAATTGAATATTGGAAGAAGATGTCAATTTTTTTTTAGTTACTTTATTGCACATCATTACACATGTTAAATACTTCCTTAATATTATGCATGTTGAAAAAATATATATGAAAGTGTCACTAGTACATTATTAGACATGATTGGAAAAAAATGATGACATCAATTATAAATTAGACTTGGTAAAAGTAGAAATATGAACTAATATAGCACTAGTGAAGAAGAAAAAACAAATATTTTTACATCTTGCAACATGCACTTTTTCTAAGCAAAAGAAGCAAGATCATCGAAGCTTTATATTCAATTAAAATTTTAAAGAGATATTCATTAAACATAAAAGTTCTTGTATCAGTGAAGAGCTTAAAATTAAAAGGTTTAAAGTTTCATAGTTGTCATATCTTAATGAAGAATTTGCTGCCAATGACTATATGTTTCATTTTTCTAAAGAAAGTTTGTGACAATCAACAAGTTGTGTTTTTTTTTTTCAAGGCAATTTGTAGTAAGATGATTGACTCTACACGATTATCAACTTTGCAAAATCAAATTTCTAACACACTTTGTGTGCTAGAGATATATTTTCTATCTTTTTTTCTTTGATATCATGTTTCATTTGACCACTTAATTTGTCGAGCAAGCAAAATTATGTAGGCTTGCATATATAAGATGGGTGTATCACAATATATGAAGATTTTAAAAGAGTATATCAAGAATAGAAGCTGACCAAAATGATGCATTATTTAACAATATTTAGTCAAAGAAATTTTTAAATTTTGTAATGAATACTTGTCAAGAATTAATATGTCTCCTAAAATACTATCACACTATAAGGATGTTATCAAGCACACTTATATGTTTTACGAAACACCGTTGAGGTAGAGCCTTATATAATCATGCACAAAAAGATACTCAAGTGTAAAAATCTTAACAAAGGTGAAAATTTAATTGCAAAAGAGCATAACCAGAGATTTATTTCATAGCTACAAAAGCATGCCTCTCAATATTTGATAGAAAATAACGATTCAGTTTTAGAAAAGGTTTAATGGTTGTCAAAATGTCCTTATATTGATGCATTTTCTTACAATTCTTATTTAGTCAATGGCTTCACCACTTACACAAAATAACATAACGACCAAAGTACAATACAAAATAGCAAGGTGACTTGTAACTGAATCACTAAATATCCTCTAATGCAAAGAATAGAAACTCTATTTATGCAAATATATCATACTTTGGGGTAATTGAATACATATGGGTCAAATCTCTGTGTTTGATTACAAATGGGTTGACAACGACAATTATGTTCGAATTAACTATTTAGGCTTCATGAGAGTTGATCTTAACAAGATAGGTTATAAAGATGACCCTTTTATCCTTGTCCACAGGCCCAACAAGTATTCTATGTCTCTTATCTTATTAATAAGTCATGGTCAATTGTGTTCTCAAATAAATTAATGCTTTTATAGATGGCAAAAGTATGGAAGAAAACATTGATGTTGAGGACAATCCTTTCCTTTGCGTAAAACACATGTCAAATAGTAATTCAATAGTTGATGATGGAGATTTTCATGTAAGACATGATCATGAAGGAGGTATTTGGTTAATCTATCCTTTCATACCATAAAGAGATATGAAAAATATTGTAAGGTTTCTAAGAAAAGAAAAGGTTCATCTAAAGATGTATATTTTTACTTTATGATTTTAACTGACATATTTAATTATATATATTATTTATTGCTAATATTATTTATTTTTTTATAGATTACTTCTTCAGATAATATGAAAGGAGATTCTCGTCCTAAGTCCCAAGATATGAAGAGAGACACATGAAAAAACAAAAATAAAGCCAATTACTAAATCAAAAAAGTTAGAAATAAAATAACAATAATTAACTTAATTATCAATCTTGCAAATGTGTTTCCTTTATGTTTATATTATGACTTTAAAAAATTATTTTGTATTATTGTATAGATTAGATAGAATTCAAAAGTCAACCCCCTAACAAATTCAAATTTTCTCATTTTGTTAGGTTTATTAGTAGAAGTACAATGCCAATTAGTTATTCTAATTGGTTAAATGTGTCTATTGATCTAAAGAACTACATTTGGGAGTAACTACAAGTGAAGAAAATCAATTTCATTTTCTCTTTATTACCAATATGACTGTATTGTAAGATTTATTATTATTTTTTTCAATGCAACAAAGTTTTAAGGTGGAAGAGATCCACAAGGACCTTGTTCTTGCATTAGCTAAACAAGATCTTCATGTTTTTTTAACAAGGTTAAGAAAACATATTAGAGACAAAGACAATAATTCTCTCTTCCATCCCCCATAAAAGTATCAATAATTTGTCAATATAATTGATCGTTGGATAGAGTTTGTTAGGCAAAGCTTCATGTTCGGAGGGCAAGTGTACCCATTGAGAAGTAATACAGGGTTCTTAAATTAAGTTCTCAAAATATTGTCCAACAAAGATTATTTTCCAATTACTAAGAATTTCCTAATTTAATTGTTTAAGCTTCAAAAATATGGAATTAATTAAGACAAGAATTTATAAAATTAATTCTAAAACTAAGAGCAAGGAACTTATCGGAGAGGAACCTAGGGCATATGGGTTTTCTCATTCAATCCTTTATGTTATTTTTCTGTTTAACTCTAAATTCAATTTTCTTGTGATTACTAATTATTCATACGAATACTATTAATACCCAATGGTCATGCAATATTAATATTACTTTCTCTAAATTAACATCCCCAATGGTTATGCAAGACATTAATTTAAGAAAGCTTAATGAACCTATGAACTTGTTAATTTAATAATGATTAGAAGAGAAAGATTGGTTTGGTCCACCTAATCCTTTGTCTCTTTTACCCTATAGATCTATTAATTAACCGAGGTACGGTCGCCTGACGATATAATTAATTAGGATTAAGAAAGAAGTGCAATAGGATAAAATCTAATCACAAAATAGAAATCAAATTTAGATTCAAATATCAAAATTCCATAAATTTA